GGAATAACATTATAAGGAGGTCTGGTCTGAGTTAAACATTTCCTTAAAATCAGACTTCCTGCCCCATCTCAGGCAGCTTCTGGAGTTGTAGTGACCACTTCCTGATACACCCAAATCAGTTCAGAAGAATTGTTCACAAGTGAAAAGAAACACTGGCTTCAGTCTCCCAGGCATAGAGCTTGAAAAATAATTTTATTAGAGCAAAAGAACAACCCAGCGGCTTTTTTGCAAGATGAAGCTGGCCTGATTTGCATGCCCCTGTCTCTAAACTTTAGAAAAAAGATCACACTGAAGGTCCAGTTGATCTGGCTATGCTGTGGGGGGCTGCAAACTTGCCTTTTTTTGAATAAAAGAAGCACAAAATGAAATGATGGATGAAACGGGGGAAAAGGGGGAAAAAGAAGGCTGCATTTCTCATTGCAAAACTAATTCTGGTCTACTGCTGAACCGGCGGCCACAGTTAAGTTGCTGTTTTTTTTTAATCCAGTTCTTTTAGGCCAGTTCAACAGCAGAGCTTGGACCATAAGGAGAAAGGGCTGCAAATCTTGCTCGTGGACGCGGTGGAGTCAGGACCTGCAGGGTCAAAACATCGGCTCCTTTGATCAGCATGGACCATGATAACATTTTCTACCCCTTTCCATTGAAGGAAACTATTCCCCAGTTTCCTTCAATCTTAGCTGCAGTTCAAGGAGAGATGTTTTTTTTCCCAGCAACAGAAGATTGTTGTGAGCTATGTTGAGGTGGGTTGATCTGACATGACTCGTCAGAACCTCAGATTTATTCCTCCTGGAGATGAGAATGGCTAAAAGTAGCTACTTCTTATAGGCTGGTGTCCTGCAGTCTGCATGTTTGGATTCTCTTTTGAAAGATGGCTTACAGGGAGTGTCGTCTGCTCTCTAGAATGTACCACCTCGCCTTGTTCCTTTTCTTCATGCGTCGTACAAACTCTGTTTTCTATGCGGGCACACTCTTGACTCCCACATTTTCCATCTGCAACTGAATCCAACATGGATTCAAAGATTGTTTTTTTTTTGTTCCGCCTTTCTGCTTAAGTTCTAAATTGGGAATAAACACATCCCCCCGAAATGACATTCTTCCTAGACTTTCATAAGATTAATTGAAACATAGATAATGCTCACTGCAAATAAAATAAACAAGACACAAGGGAGTAGGTTTTTGCTGACATACATTTAACTCAGAGAATCCTTCTTTTCTTGGTGAGTGCCTGTAAGTTTGAAGTGGGAATGAATGAGCATTGCCAATGTTTCTCTGAAAGCATCTTCATCTTTCTGCATGTGCCAGGCACATTTTGACCTATTAATTGTTAACAATGAACCAGGCTGAAACTAATGAGCAGGTTATTGTAGGCCCTTGGAAATCACTGTAAATCGCAAAAAAAATATAAAAGGCCAAATTTTCTGGCAGGCCACAGTATTGCCAAAAAGGAGTACTGTGAAGCACTTTGGTAGAAAAAAAGGACAAACAAGAATGAATTAAACTGCTTGACATCGAAGCACACTGTGTCCTTCTTAACGTGGTCAGTGGCTTCTCTGGCATGCTTATTAGGCTGAGGGGAGACTTTGCATTTTGAAAACAAAAGAAGGCGGTGGCTTCCGTGACAAGCCTGCAGGCTGCTCGGTCTTGATCATTGTTCTTTCAGAGAATAGTGCACACAGGTAGTGCTCTGAATGACACAAACAATAGTTGCCAACAGCAACTGCAGCCCAGCGGCCACACCTGATGATTCAGATAAGAGAGAAATCATTAACAGGGGAGAGTTGAATCTCACGTGGAGGAGGAGAGAGGGGCCTAACTCAGCGCTAGAACACTCGTTTCATATATTGAAAGCCCCAAGCTGAGTTCTCGGGATCTTCAGCTCAGTCTGAGGAAGGCCTGTCTCTGAAACACAGCAAAACGGGTCCCAAACAGGGCAGACCGAGGAATGGAATCCACCCCTCTGGACCTACGTCTGGCTCACTGGGCATCCATCATGCCCGAGGACATACACGAGTCACCTTTCCCAAAAGATCTACCCTCTCAGAAGGGGAAAAAGGCACAGAAGCTGCCTCAGGTTTCACTCTTCAGGAGGAGAAAGCAAGAAGGGATAAAAGCTGCGTTCCAAGAGCCAGGTGAACGGTGACTTTCGGACTCATCTGGCTCTAAGAGGGCAGGCTGAGTGCTCCTGGCTTTCTTGGCCAGTTGTCTTCCCCTGCACGGATAAGGCAAGACAGTGGGAAAGGTAGCTTTTCAACCAAAGCACCAGCTAGAAAAGCTCCAGCCGCTGATTGGATGGAAGAGCCAGTGATATTGGTCATGTGACCAGAGCTCCTGTCATCATGTGAGCTGTGGCGGGGGCTGACCTGACAAACCAGTTCCCTACTCCAGTGTAGATGATAGTACTGTACTGAGTTAGCTGGGGACTGATAGGGCATGGTGTAGCGTTTTAAACAGATGACACAGTTGCGCGGTGCATTGCTGTAAGTTCAGAAATCTCCATTAGGATTTTCTGCTGCATGGGGACTTGTGTCACTGTGCGCCAGATAATGCATATGGACATTCCTTAACTTACGGCAATTTGCCACTAAAAGTTAATGCATTCTGTGTAATCGTGCAACAGGATTGTATCCATTAAGTGTGACCTCAGGCACCTCCCATTTGCTACTAGATTCCAGCACTGTGGCCAGAATTTAACTGCCACTTGACATTTGCTTAAGGGACATGGTGTCAGTTGTGCTGGCAGATTGCCACTAATGAATGAAGTGCTGGTTGCATTCCAGGAGTATGCCCAGAAATACAAGCAAGGGCCTCATTAATTAGTGGCAATTTGCTTTTGCAATCTATGCCATTTCAGTTATACAAGTGTAAATCGGTTGTTAAACTTTGACCTATACATTGGTGTGTGGACAAGAATAATGTAAGTGCAGAAGAGACCAAGCAGCAGTTCTTAATCTCAGATAACAGAGAACAGTTGTGTTTAAAATAAGTGGACATGACAGTGTCTCAGATACCAATGGGACTGTGGAACTCCTTGCCACAGGAAGTGGTGATGGCATATGGCCTAGGGGCCTTTAAAAGGGGATTGGATAGATTTCTGGAGGGAAAGTCCATCACAGATCAAGCCATGATGGGGATGTATAATCTCTAGGCTTAAAAGGAAGGTACTTCAAAATGCCAGATGCAGGGGAGTGCATCTGGCATTTTGACAGGCACAGAAGACACTTCAAAATGCCAGATGCAGGGGAGTGGTTGTCAGGAGACAGGCATCTAGTTGTCTCTTGTGCTCCCAGAAGCATCTGGCAGGGTGACTGTGAGATACAGGAAGCTGGAGTAGAGGGGTCCTTGGCCTGATCCAGCAGGGCTCTTCTGATGATCTTATGACATTAGTATTGACTCTACTATAGTATAAATTGTAGGACCTGTGTTGCTTGCACTTGGGATTCTTATGCTACGGCTTCTTACAGCCTACTGAATAGGCTCCTCTGATTCACTGATAAATTTCGAACCAAAACTGCTGGATCCTTAGCAGTGTTAGAGCTCTCATTCAATTATTTAAAACAGTGCTGATTTAAGTGCTTGTCTTATTAGCTAATGTCATTCCTGTCCAAAATACAGAGTTTGTTGTTTAAGCTGCAAATTGCACAGCAGAAGACCAAGTATACTGTGGCTTGTCTTCCACATTGCTGGTTTGTTTTTGACTCCCCATTTGTGGCATGGCTACTGATGTGGCATGGACAGGTAGGAAAACAAAACAGTAGCCTTCCATAGTTAGAGGTGGAGATATCACAACAGGCCATGGTTCAGACAAACCAGTTTTTAAGCCAGCAATAACCATGGGTGAAGATTCGGGTTTATGGTTGGTTAATAAGCCATGGCTTGCTAGGAGAGGCAAGTTCTCGTGGCACAGTAAGCCCGATTTCAGTAAGCAACATCATTGCTCGTTGTGATATGTAAATGTGATCATAGACATTCTGTTTTGACAGGAGTTTTAACTTAATGGTCTTTTCGGTTTTTAAAAAAGTGAAATTAAGAGCCAATTGGCACATGGCTCCATTTTGTGTTCTACCTGCATTAAGCCATGGGTCTAAAGTGTGTGGTTGTAGGTCATCTAACGTAAATTGGGATTTATGAACATGCATTTATAAACAGATGGGTGGTATTCATGAGGGAAAGTTTTGAGGTAGCATGTCAGCAATATTCAGGCATAGGGATCCAGCATATTTCTGCATCTCTTGCCGTTGCCTTCTAGTTTTGCTTCTTCAAGCTTACTCATAGATGACTAAGTTGTTGACATTTTGAAATCAGTAGCTTTCAAATAGAAAGATATGGCTTTGTTTGAAACTGATCTGCTTATACTTGAGTATTCACACTTGGGATTCTTCTGCCGTGACTTCTTAGAGCCTACCTCCCGATCTGATTCGCTGAAGAGTCTAGATCGGGAATTGTCGCTTCCTTGGCAATATTGGGACTGTCAGTCACCCTCCTGCTATTTGTGGGTCTTGTTAGGGGTCGCTGCCTCTCATTTTTATAAAGGAAACAAGTGTGTGCCTATAATGGTAAAACTAAGGATAACAATGGGTGGTTGTGTAGCAGTTACGAGCAAGAGTCAATTGTAGGTCTACTGGACATTTCAGCATTCATAATCACCAGGTCTGGAAATCAAGATGCCACAAAAACTGAGGGAGGCAGTGGGAACAATCTTTGCATATGGATATTTCAGAATAATAGTTGGGTTTCACACATACCCCAGCCCCCTTGCCACTAGCATGGCCAGTGATATTCAATGGATTCTGGAAGTTACAGTCCAAAGCATTTGGAGTTCATCAAAGATGGAGAACTGCTGCACTCTTGTTTTTTCTCACATTGACCTTTAAGGTTATACAATCATTTAGTTCTTCTCCTTGTAGGGTTTGGGTTGGTTGATCGGTTTGCTCTTTTACTCTCTTTTTCCCCCCCAGTGATGCGCCTGTGTTTATTTGTACATGTGTGTGTTTCAAATCTAGACAAGTACGAGAGAGAAGCCAGTAAACATTGGAATGAATTTTACAAGACCCATCAAAACAACTTTTTCAAAGATCGCAACTGGTTGTTCATGGAATTTCCCGAAATTCTGCCAGAAGAAGAGCGTGAGCACTGTATGAAAATAGACACAAGGTTATGTGAAGATGACCATCTTTGTGAAAATAATCCTGCTGTAAAAACTTCTTCTGTCCATAATTTTGGCTCGTGCAGTGATGACTCTGCTGTGAATCTTCAGAGTGTGAAGCAGTCTGGAAAAGAATTTCCTGGCAGTGATGCAACTTACAGAATATTAGAGGTATGGTAGGATAGAGCGGCCACATATGATAGTTGCGCATGTATGTTTGCACACAAACATATATGTTCTTCCTCCCACCATCTCTTGGTATATGAGGATGAGGAAATTTAAACCATCCCTGCCCGCCTGTTGAGATCAGAGTGTGATACCAAACATCTTCCCCCTTCTCCAGACATGTGATCCTGGTCTGAATGGCCATTTCCCCCACATCTGTTAGCAGGCATTGCGTAGGGAATATGTGTAGGATTAAACCCCCTGTTTCTGCCTGCCTAGTGATCCTGAGCCACTTTGCTGGCCACCTAAAAGATTTCAGTTTGTTGTTCAACTGAGTTGTACAGTTCATAGGTCTCATTAAAGGTGGAAAAAGTTCTGAAATGATTTTATCTTTGACTCATTTTTCTTACATCACGAACACTTAACATTTTAACAGATTATCTTTGACTCATTTTTCTTACATCACGGACACTTAACATTTTAACAGGGGTGGATAAACTTTTTATATCCACTGTATAAAATGCCCCCCACTTTTCTAAATCAACATATCTTTCTCTACAAGAAAGTGGAGGGGAAAAAGCTCCTGCTTTCCCCCTACATTTTCGTTGCAAAAAGCAGCTTCCCCCCTCCATGTTTTGCAATAATAATAATAATAATAATAATGCAGGGGGGAAGCGATTTCTGCTTTCCCCCTACATTTTCTTTGCAAACGTTTTGCAATGAAAATGTAGGGGTAAAGCAGAAACCGCTTTTCCCCTCTATTTTCTTTGCAAAATGTGGAGAGGGAAACGGATCAAAGCACTTTGATCCCTCCCCCCCTTCCGAGTATAAAACGACCCTCAATTTTTCCTTCAATTATTTTAGGAAAAAGTGTCATTTTATACACGGAAAAATACGGTACTCAAGAACATGCCCTCTTGAACTCGACTACTTTTAAAAAACTGAGCAGCATGAATATCTTATCTTCTCCCAGGCGTAGCTGAGGCTCTGAAGTGATAATGTGTTTGTTCTGTACCAGATACTTGGGATGTAGTAAAATTGTCGCCTTTTTCTGAGATTTTAGTTTATTATCTCTTCAAGGATACATTTCTTTCATAGCTTATTTCATGATTTGTTTTTACAGCTAAAGCTGGTTATAGTTTTTCTATCTCATTTTGTGTGTACATTTAGTTTTACGCAGTGAAAAAATAAAGAAGACAACGCAGCATAGGAGGAAAAAACACATCCTTTTTGTGCAGCCACTATTGTAAAGTAACTTCTTGATGCATGCCACTGGCCAGAGCCCCTTCCCCTCAAATGTTGCCCTTAGGTGACGGCTCATTGGAATATCTCATTTTACCCTTTTCTGCATTTTGAGAAGAGATTGGAAGAAAAAGAAAAATATGCATTATACTTCAATTGATGTCTTTCGTTTTAATTCTAGGTTGGTTGTGGAGCTGGAAATAGTGTCTTTCCTATTTTGAGAGCTCTGTGGTAAGCCATCTCACTCCGATCCATAGCAGACTTGAGATGCTATAAAAAATACTGTGTGAGAGCAGCTTGTTTTACCATAGTCTTGCACTGAAAAGTTTCGCTTGTTAGGATAGTGGTTTCCTTCTAAATTGCTTAGCTCATCATCTAGCCACCAAAGGTCATCCCCATTAGTAATAGGAAGAAATGATTTGGATTAATCAGGCACAATTATTCTGGTAGTGTCTGTCACTAATTAAGATGTAATTGTTAAAATGTCTTTTAATCTTATATAGCAGCACTAAGCCAGGCTTCCCCAACTAAATGTCTTAGCCAGCGATGATGGGCCTTGCAGTCCACAGTCTCTGTGGCATAGGCAGGCTGGGAATGACTTGTCTAAAAACAAAAGTCTGCATTCTTCAAGCGATCCCATCTTCCCTTTGTAGTTTAACACAAAAATCTGGTGCTTGGGAGTCTCTTATTTGGGGTCAGACCTGTTGCAGCATACTTTCACACCTTCCTCTGCAAAAATATTTTACCTTTATTTTAAAAAGGCATTGTTTTTGCTTGAGTGAAGTGAGGCACTGGCAAGTCTGCCTTTTGGTCTCTCCATTCACTTTGATAAGGAATGGAATCTGTCAACAAAACCTGTTTCTCCATTGAAAGGCCCTGTGTGAGCTGCCTTGGGTCCCCTATGGGGAGAAAGGTGGCATATAATTAATTTAAGTAAGCAAGCAAGCAAACAAGCATACATCTGCTTATGAAAGAAAGCTGTCATTCCTGCTAAGTGCATATACAAGTGGTGCCCCGCTTGACGAGGATAATCCGTTCTGTTAAAATCGCTGTTAAGCGATATCGTTGTCAAGCGAAAGAAAAAAAACCCATTGAAATGCATTGAAAACCGGTTCAATGCGTTCCAATGGGCAAAATACCTCATCGTCCAACGAAGATCCTCCATAGGTGGAGCCATTTTCTGTCGCTGTCTTCTGGAAATAGGTCCGGAAAACAGCAGGCGGCCATTTTGAAACCCGACGATCAGCTGTTTTTAATCGTCGTAATGCGAAGAACCGGTTCCTGAAGCAGGGAACCAATCATCGTAAAGCGGATTTTCCCCATTTAATAATAAGTGTTTTGCAGTCGCAATAGCGATCGCAAAAACCTCATCGTGAAGCAATTTCGTCGTGAACTGGGGTAATCGTTAAGCGGGGCACCACTGTATCTGGCTGGGCTTCTTTTGTTAATGCTTCTCAATGTTTACTTCTACTTTTCAATAATCTGTACTCATGACTTCCTGGTTAATATTATCTGTCTGTCTCAGCAACACATGGCTTCTCAGACACAATGTGATTAAAGTATTTAGCACTCATTCACTCTGGCATATTTATTGGTTAGTTTAGAGAGGAGTCATAACCCAGTGGTGCAGCACCAGCTTTGCATGTGAAAAGTCCTGGACGGAAAGAATCAGTTTGCAAATGACATGGAAAAGACCTCTTTCTGAGTTCTTGGAAAGCTGAAATGAATCAGAATTAACAATATTTGAAAGATACTTCCATGAGGTGACTTGTACAAAGCACCTCATCGTGTTCAAATGGCAGTTTGTTTCTGTATTGTTCATACATCTAGCTGTGTTCATGTTTGAGTCATTGTTGCTGGGGCCATAAATTGTTCATGGAGAACAAACAAACAACATCCCCCATCCCCTGTTTTGGATCTGTTTCTTTCCTGCCCCTTTTGTCAACTCCCGTTTCAAGGTATGGGCAGCTGAGTTCAAGCCACGATCCCAAGTCAGACATAACAGCAAGCCATGGTTTGAACAAGCCTGAGTTTGTAATCTAATAACAAACCATGACTTCCCACTGTGTTTTTTGGCTGGCCAATAAAGCATAGTTTGTTTTCAAGGATAGGCTAAGATATAAGAATGATGCAGATGCATCATCATGTTTTTTCTGACTCAAAGGATTTTCTTAGTATAAAACACTCAGAATCGTTTTATCAGTTCTTATACTTAAAAATACTGTTTTTTCTCATGCCCAACTGGTACCGGATACCAAATGTATTAATTGAAGCTGGCAGTGCAGCCTAATGTTACTGATCTATGGTGATCAAAGTAAGAAAATTCGGAGGGTGTAGATGACAAGAACTTACCCTCCTATCCAAGCCAGCCTTGATGCTTTACTATTGGACACAGCTGCAGTGACAAAATATACAGAGGGGCTGTCTGCCGATTCACATTCCATTGAGGTGCAAATATGAGAATTCAAAAGTTTCTGCTGCCACATTAATTTTTTTTCCATGTTACTTTCTGGCCAGAAAATACGGGACAATGCCATGATAATTAAGTGCAGTTTTTAAAAGACGTTACGTGTAACATAGCAGATCAGCAGTAACAAAGAAACTCTTGTTTCCTAAGCCACAATATATTTACCAACTCCATCCTTCGCTCTTTCTTCAGTTTTGTTACTGTAGCTTCAAACTTTCCCCCAAAACTGGTTCATGTAATTGATTAAACCTGCAGAATTGTTATCAGTAAAAATCACTTTACAAAAGCAATTAGGCAAGTGATGTTTATTTCATTCTCTCTTTATCTCCAGCAATATTCCTAGAGTCTTTTTGTACTGCTGTGATTTTGCTTCAAAAGCCATGGAGCTGGTCAAGGTATGTTACGTGTAGTATTTTGGAGAACATGTATTCAGAAGCTAGCGAAGTCAGCATGTTTAAAGAGAAAGAGAGTTTCAGTACTGCAACAGCTTAGAATTAATTTCCTTTTCTCCTCCACCATCACTGCTGTGTGGGGAAAAATATAAAGGTTATATAGTAGTACTTCTGGGGCTCGTTCATGCAGTCTCTCACTCTCAGAGGTTGCTATACAAAGTTTTGTCCAGAACTACAGGTTCTTATCTCTGTTTCCTCCACTAAGTAAACTGTTCCTCTTGACCAGAAAAGGCAGGACCTTTCTGTCATAGTACTGACCTTCTCAAGTATTCCCCTCCGTGGGGAATCACACCTGGTCTCATGGCTTAAGCAGCTTCTGTTACTTGACCAAAACATGGCCTTTTTTTTTAAGATTAGTGATAAGCAGAGCATTGGTTATTTTTCCTTCATGCTTGTTCTTTTTGCTGCTCTAGTGAGGCCATGTTCCATTTTTGCATTCTCTGTACAGTATATGCATTGCATCCGCATGCCTAGCGAGCAGTAATAGCTGTACTTCAGCCTTTCACTTGGGAGCGTACGGTAGTGGGCTTGCTTCTTTGGCTCACATGCAATGAGCAAAGTGCTCGATTGAGACCCGTTCTCATGTCCTTAACCCAGCAGCCGACACAAACTGTTCTTGATCAGAACAAAATTCTAGATCAAGGCCGGGTGATGTCTTTGCTCTCATCGTACAGGAAGGAATAGGTCAGGCCTTGACTTGCGTAGGGCAGCTCTTTTCGGAAGCCTTGCCCTGGGGAAGGCTCATAAGTCAGTGACAGCACAAATTCTTTGTAAGCAAAAAGCTGCAGGTGGCTCAGTCCCTGGCAGCTCCGGGTGAGGCAGGGAGAGACCCTTGCCCGAACCCCTGGGGAACTGCTGCGAGTTAAAGAGCACATAGTATTGAGCCTGCTAGGCTAACCGTCTGACTCAGACCGTGCCTCTCACTACACTGTTATAGCCATCTGATACCACGTTGGGTGTCATGGCTCCATCCTATAGAATCTGGGCACCTGTCGTTTGGTGAAAGACTGAGAGTTCTGTGCTGTTGTTCAGAATTATCCACCAGAAAGCTCTCAGTTATTGTTCTGGGCCTTAATTCTATGTACCTCACCAGACTACAAACTCCAGAACTCCCTAAGGTGGAGCTATAGTAGTTAACAGTTTTGGCAAAAACTGTAGCTTGCTATGGTTCTCCTGTAGTATTAGGGGATGAGAGTGACTATAGCGGCCAGGAACAGCAGCTCAACTACATTCGCCACCTTTTCTCCAGCTCTGCTGTAGATAATTATCTTATTGTGGGAGGGGATTCAATATCTCACCTTGAGTGGTCTGCAGGAATTCAGGCCCAGCTTTATACTTCATTCCCCTGGTTTTTAAGAGACAATAAGTGATTGGAAACAGCAATAAAATAAATTATTCGGTGGGGGAAGAGCGTCTGATTTTTTCTTTCTGTATAATGTTAGGAAATAATTCTAATCAGTTTAATCTCTCTTTGTTTGTTTTTCAATGGGCCTGTAACAGTCACACCCGTTTTTCGATCCCTCCCGGTGTTTGGCCTTCGTTCATGATGTGTGTGATGATACCTCTCCCTACCCCTTTCCAGAGGAAAGCCTGGACATTATTCTCCTCATCTTTGTCTTGGCTTCTGTTCATCCTGACAGGTATGTGAAGACTAAAAGGATGGAGTAGATGAAATGTAGTAGATGTGCCCCCCCCTCTCTCTGTGACTTGTGAGTCAAATTCAAGGATAGCTAAGCGATTTGCTGAACTGTCTTAACTTTTCTTATGCCCAGAACATTTTAAATTTCAGGGTTTCCTGTCCATAGTGTGAGTAGGCCAAAACTGTGCTTCATTTTTCCCTGTTCAGTCTCTCTCTCCACCCTGCATTAATTTATCTTGTACCAATGTTGAAAACACATTAGGCTCATGCCTCCCAAACTCAGTGATTGTTCTCTCTTTCTGTCTTTTTCTCTCCTTGCTTCCTCCCCTCTCCTTGTTCCCCTGCCCCAATGCTGGTCCTGCTTCTCCCTACATCCCAGTACTCAGCCATGTATTCCCCGGATAGAAATGTATTGGTTCTAGACTACCCATATCCCCCAGTTGTCATGGCTCATTGAGATACAGGCTGTCCAGCAATTCAAACAGGGATGTTGGTAGTAGCTATGCGGACTTTTGTGTTTCTGGTTCTTGTTGTTTCAGAGGTCTTCTGGGATAAAGAAATGCAGAAACAGATTTCCAGTTTTACATAATCAGCATTTCTAAATATCAATACATTCTTGTGTGGGTTTTCTGCTCACTTTCTGCTGAATAATGGAACTACTCTGGATGAAAATTTGAAATCTGACCAATGGAATGATCTATTTTATCTATTTACATTATTTATATGCCACTTTTCTCCATGTAGGAGACCCTAGGCAGCTCATGACAATTAAAACTATACAATATAAAAGGTTGAAAATATTATGCAAACCCTCATTTAAAAACAATTCAACTTTAAAGCGCATTAAAAACAAGATTTAAAGCAATTTTCAAAGCAATTGGAAAAAACATTCAAAAATATCTAAATTGGGCAAATCCAGCATTCCCTACAAATTCCTTAAATGTCTCCCTGAAGAGCCCTTGCCTGGTAATAGAAGGACAAGAGGGAGGGGGTAACCTAGCTTCTTAGGGCAACGCATTCCAAAGCCTGGGAGCAGCCACTAAGAAGGCCCTCTCTCATGAACTCACCAGACAAGTTTGGGAAGGTGGTGGAACTGAGAAAAGGGTCTCACTAGAAGATCTTAAAGTTGGGAAGGCTCCTACGATCCTTCAAATGGCCTGGACCCAAGCCGGGTGAATGTAGTATAAGAATGTATTTAATACTTCCAGCCCCCCACCTGGTATTGGTGTGTTAACTAAATGATATTGATCTTGGGAGTAGCTGTGGCAGAATCCGCTTAAAGGAAACACAGCGTACATCACCCTCAAGTGTCAAGTTGTGTAGCCTGGAGATCCAGTTGTGTAACCTGGAGATTACCTGCTGAAAGCAATGGGCCTTCTTTATGTGCAAACACTGAGGAAGAAACAGGCATGTGCACAACGCAGACAAAGAGGATTCTGCTCTGTATATTTATGAATAGCTGCTAAAATCTTATCTCAGCAGACTGATCTGCCGTTCGCAGGCATTCAGAAATATATGATGGAATTTGCAGCATAGTGGTTCTTTTGAAAATGACTCAGAATAAAAGATCATCTTAGAAACATGCAACATAATTGAAAACTTATGTGCAGTGTTTGAATTAACAGATATTGAGATACAAATCAGCTGTGTTGAAATAATCATTTCTCTCTCACTCTCATGCACAACCACAGACAGATACTTTGCCTCCTCTCTCTCATTTAGAAAACCCATTCATTTGTGTGTAGCTTTGATGGTAATTTGTCAAATGTTGTTTGTTTGGGGGCATAGTACTTTCACGCTGCTGAGCTCTATCTGCCTTGGATCTGGTTCCATTTCCCCTTCTTTGATAATCCTGTAAAGGCGCCAAAGGAGGCTACCAGCTTTGGGTGCCTGATAGCCATGCCTTTGTTAACATCATGGCTAGAATCCTGCAACACATGGGGGCGGGGGAGGGCTTGATTCCTTTTACCATTTGTCTTAATAAACATTTGTTATTTAATTTTAACTGGGGACTGCAGTTTTAGGGCCCTGTTTTAGGGCCCTGTCTTTGCTTTTAGCTTTTGATAATCGTGTGCTGCTGATTGGTTACTGGTTTTCCTGTTTCTTATAATCTGCAAACTGTTTTGAGCAACTCTTATTTTGAGTGGGGAGACTGGGTAACCCATATTTTGCACATCAACAAATTAAATTAAGTTTGTAAGGATATCTGTGGTTTTCAGATCGTAGCCTAAGAGAGGCCACTTGCGGGTCCTGGATTTGAATCATTATCATTATCATTATCATTATCATTATCATTATCATCATCATC